ATGGCGGAAGACTGCGAGAGAGAGAAAGCATGAAAAGCTGCTGCTAAGTGGGCGTAGAGGAGAGACCTCAGATACAAAGTATAAAATACAAGGAATCTGAGGCAAAGTAACATTGAAAATATTTTAATGGACTAGAGATAAGAGAGAAGTGAAAGGAATTTGTCTGTTTTATCTGGTCAGATAGTGTTGTGCCAGCGACCGGCTTGAGATATATTGGTGGGTTTTTACACCCAATTCTATGCCTGGTGTATTTGAGCGGAGACTGATTTAAGTATTACTTAAACAACGATTTCTACTCCTCTCATCCTCCACGTTTGAACAAAGGGGAGAGTCTGGTACATATTTAGCCCAGTTAAACGATTGAAAATCAGACTGATAATAGGAGGAGGGGAGACGCGGAAAGGCAGTGTTCTTCCGGCGAGGTTTTGGAGAAAAAGTGAATGGCTTGGAGAAAGTAAACTAAAGTAAAGTAAAAACTTACTGGGTCTTTGCACCACCATTTTCCTCCCAGTCTCCACCCGTTTTAAAGAGACATACTCCAATATTTAAGTAGGAGAAGGCTGGACTATTAATGCAGCGGAAAAGATTGAGAACTCTTTGGCAAGAAAAGAAATTCGATAAGACAATTTGCCAGGACCCTCTGCCATTTACGGAATCCTTTTCATCGCGGAGTGTCTCTCCATTCGGTCCCGCCTTGCTCTCCTGGGTCCGCTCCCGGATCGAGACTCACCTCACAATTCTTCCAGAGTTCCAGAGAGCCACTACGCGATTACGTGACTTCACCTACCCGCCCGTGTATCTTTGGCGGTTACTTCTTCCTCACCTCCCCACCCACCCTTTATTTCCCTTTGGCCCTTCCTTTGGCCCTCTCTATTGTACGTCCCTGGGGTATCTTTTGAGACGCTGGTTTTCCCTATTTGTAACTGCTTTGGTCTCTCTTTTTGTTTTCCTTTTTGTTCTTTTCTCTTTGGTTCTTCTTTTTATTGGTTTTCCTTCTTCGGTTTTTTTAGCTGCTTTCTTTTTATTCCTCTTTGTTGTTTTTGCTTCGGTTGGTATTCAGCGTATCTTTGTATATTTGGTTCCCCCCTAACTGTGTGATTGCTAATATTGCACAAGATTAGCTGCTTGGCCTTGTGCAGAAGGAGACATTCGGTTGGTGAACTCTACTGAAGAGAAGAGAACTAAGACTTGGAAGGTCAACAAGGCGCCATCGTGTGGGATCAAAGGAAACTGCATTGGAAGAAATTAATGAGAGGAACAGGCCAGCAGCTCTCTTCAGTGTCTTACGGGGGGGAAAGTCTTTAATAATTAGTTAACTTAAGTTGACATACAAAATGAAAAAGGCGGTGGGAACGCCAGCAGAAAGGAGGCCATCTAGACAAGAAGATGGGAAGGAGGGGAAAGAGATCAAGGACTACGATAGTTTGATGGCTGAAATAAGGAAAGAATTTAAACATAATGAGCAATATATAGAGAAAAAGCTATTGGAAGTGCAGGATACATTAGATAAGAGATTAGAGGGGGTGGTGGGAGAACTGACAGGAAAAGTCAAAGACCTATCGGTAAGAGCCAAAGTACTTGAGGATTCTATGAAAAGGGTGCAAAAGGATACAAAAGATAGTAAGAAGGATTTGGACAGAATTAAAATAGAAGTTAAGGAGATAGGTAAGGTACAGGAAGAATTGCTGGACAGTATGGCTATGACTCAGATGAGACAGAACCAACAAAATTTAAAATTTAGAGGGATCCCAGAGGACCCAAACGAGAATATAAGATCTAAAATGGTGAAAGAGTTGGCAATTTGGTTAGATAGGAAGGAGGAAGAGATAAGCTTCTCCCTAGCAAATATATTTCGGATAAAAACAAAATCGGCTAAAGCTAGGGGGAAAAAATTGCCAGGAGATGTAATAGCCATGTTTAACTCGTTGGATATGAGGAACGAAGTATTGAAACAGAATTATAGTAAAAGGTTATATATTGAAGGAAACCCAATTATTGTATTTAAAGAGATCCCTTCGAGATTTCTTCGAAGGAGGGATGTGTATAAAAAAATTAACTAACCAACTGAAGAAAAATGGGATCCTATATAGATGGGAGTTTCCGGAAGGAATTTCATTTTACTTTAAGGATAAAAGATTCAAACTGTCCAGCCCTTCAGAACTTGAAAAATTTGCAAGAAGATACGAGAAGGAACTTGGAAGGGTTGCGGGGCGGGGGAGGGGGGGGGCGGCTGGGGAGGGGGCGGGGGCGGGGGAGTGAAGAGGAAGAGAGAGAGATAAACTTAACAGAAGCGAGGGAAGAGGAAGAGAAAGAAGACAAAGAACAGCAGCTTTAAGCCAGATTTGATAATTTACTAATTGTACATAATAGATGGCTTTAAAAATACTGTCTTGGAACGTGAACGGACTTAACAATAAAAATAAAAGGAACCAGATTACACATATTTTATTAAAAAGAACCTTGACATAATCTGTCTACAAGAGACTCATGTAATAAGAAAACATAAGAGAATTCTGAATAATAAGAAACTAGGGTTGGATTTTGTGGCATCGGACAAGGTTAAGAAAAGAGGTGTGGTACTATATATAAAGGAAAAATTCGACCCAAAAATACTGTATAAAGACGAGCAAGGGAGAATGATAGTAGTACAGATTGTATTCCAAGGAATAAAAATAATTGTCGCCGGAATATACGCACCTAACGATAAAAAATCGGCTTTCTTCTTAGAATTAGGTAATAAGTTATTAGAATGGATCGATCAAAAAATGATATTGATGGGCGATTTTAACGGAGTGGTGTCACCAAATTTGGATAGGTCAACAAAAAGCAAGAGACAAAGGAAGGCAAGCTACCTCGAACGTTTTTTGATTTGGTTGATAATATGGGACTAATTGACGCCTGGAGATTTAAAAACCCCACTATAAAACAATATACCTTTTTCTCAAACCCAAATCAGAGTTGGGGGAGAATAGATAATATTTGGATCTCGAAGGAGCTGACACAGAACTTAGCTAAATCTGAAATACTCCCACAAACTATATCTGACCATAATCCGGTATTTATGGAGATAAAGGGTAAAGATACTAGAGTATTTAGATGGAGAATGAATGAAGGTATATTTAATAATCAAAAGATAGTAAGGGAGGCGAAAGAAACAATCGAAGAATACTTCAAGTGGAACTTACACAAAGAAACAGCTATAGAAACGGTCTGGGATGCAGGAAAAGCCGTTATGAGGGGCTTCCTAATTCAGAAAAACAGCCATTTAAGAAAAGAAAAAGAGAAAAAAAAGAAGAGATTCTAACACAGCTTATGGAGAATGAAAGACAACTAGCTACTAAACCAGGTGACGAGACAATAAAGCAAAATTTAAAAATATTACAAGCCCAATTTTCTATGATAGTTAACCAGGAAATTGAGTGGAAAATTAAAATGATGAAACAAAAGAACTTTGAATCAGCTAATAAAATAGGAAAATTCTTGGCGTGGCAAATAAGAGAAAGGAAAAAACAAAATACGATCTGCAAGATAAGGGATGGAGAAAGGATAGTGGAAGAGCCAAAAGAAATAAAAAGGATATTTCAGACGTATTATAAGGAACTGTATAAAAGAGGAAAGGAAATAGATTATGAAATAGACCGATACCTGGAAGATCACCATTTACAACAGATTGCCATAGAAGAGAAAGAGTTATTAGACCAGAGGATTACAGAAGATGAGATAAGGAAGGCAATAAAAAGATGAAAATTGGGAAAGCGCCGGGGCCGGATGGCCTACCAGCCAAGTACTATAAAACATTAAGTGAGCAATTTTGCCCAATTCTATGTGAAGTGATGAATAATATTTTAAAAGAGGGAAGGATTCCGAATACCTGGAAGGAAGCATATATTACTTTAATACCTAAAAAGATGTGGATGCCTTAGAGGTGAAGAACTATAGGCCGATTTCGTTATTAAATAACGATTATAAACTGTTTGCGGATATAATGGCAGAAAGACTAAAAAGGGTATTAAAAATAGAATTCATAAAGATCAAACGGGCTTCCTACCAGGAAGACAACTAAAGGATAACGTAAGAAATTTGATAGATATTATTGAATACCTGGAAACTAGAATAGATAAACAGGCGGCCTTGATATTTATCGATGCGGAGAAGGCATTCGATAATGTCTCTTGGCGCTTTCTGATGGAAAATTTGAAAAGGATGGGGATGGGAGAAAGATTCAGAAAAGGTATAGAGGCTATCTATCATGAGCAAAAGGCAAAACTTATAATAAATAATACTACATCAGAATTTTTTGATATTTCTAAAGGGACGAGGCAAGGCTGCCCTCTGTCCCCCCTATTATTTATCTTAGTATTGGAAGTACTTACTAAGAGGCTGAGGGATACAGCAGAGGTTAAAGGAGTCAGGGTAGGAACTAAGGAACACAAAATTAAAGCTTTTGCGGATGACATTGCTCTAACATTAGAAGATCCAAAGCACAGTGTAAAAGAAGCCCTACAAAAATTGAAGAGTTTGGTGCTGTGGCAGGCTTTAAGGTCAATAAGAATAAGACTAAAATACTGACTAAAAATGTATCTAAAGAAGATATAGTAGACCTAGAACAAAAAACCGGAATTATGACGGCAAAGAAGGTGAAGTACCTTGGAGTCTGGATTACGGCTAAGAACATCAATCTATATAAGGATAACTATGAGGTCACCTGGAAGAACATTAAGAAAGACTTAGAAATCTGGGAGAGAATGAGATTATCTTTTTTGGGGAGGATAGCGGTTATTAAAATGAACGTTTTGCCTAGAATGTTATTTTTATTTCAAACCATCCCGGTACTTAAAGGTTTAAAGCAATGTAAAGAATGGCAAAGAGCCTTGGCGAGATACATCTGGCAGGGAAAAAGACCGCGAATAAAAATGAAAATACTGGTAGATAAAAAAGAAAGAGGGGGTTTCTCCCTTCCGGACTTATGTTTATACTATGAGGCGGCGTGTTTATCGTGGTTGAAAGACTGGATAACGCTAGAAAACAGAGACATCTTGGATCTTGAAGGCTTCGATAACAGGTACGGGTGGCACTCGTACCTGTGGTATGAAAAGGTGAAAGTACATAGAGGCTTTTTAAACCATATTTTTAGAGGGCCAATATTCCAAGTATGGGAAAGAAATAAAAACCTATTGGAAAGGAAGACACCCTGGTGGATCTCACCAACAGAGGTGTTAACGGTCAAAAAAGTTAATATGGAAGGGAAGAATCCTACCTATGAAGAACTGACTAGGAAAACGGATCAAGGTATAAAACTTAGACCCTATGAAGAGATTAAAAACTCATTTACTGGGTGGTTGCAATACCACCAGGTAAATGACCTGTTAAAAGAAGATAAAAAGAAAATAGGATTCGAAGATAAAAAATCCAAATTCAATGTGGAAGTTGTTGAAGGAAAGAACAAAATACTGTCTAGAATATACGATATTTTACTGGAGTGGTATACAAAAGACGAGGAGGTGAAGGACGTTATGACTAAGTGGGCAATAGACATCGGCTATAACATCGATTTTGAGAGATGGCTAGAATTATGGAATACTAACATGAAGTTCACGGCATGTATGGCATTAAGGGAAAATATGTGGAAAATGATATTTAGGTGGTACCTCACACCAGTGAAACTGGCTAAGATCTATAGGTTAAAGAACAAAAGATGTTGGAAATGTGGAGAAGTAGATGGTGACTTCTACCATATGTGGTGGTTATGCAGCAAAGTGAAAGGCTTTTGGGAATCGATTTATAACGAGCTTAAAAAAAATTTTAAATACACGTTTCCCAAAAAACCCGAAGCCTTTCTGCTAGGAATGACAGGTAAAGAAATCAAAAAAGAAGATAAGGTACTATTTTTATATGCCACAACAGCCGCAAGAATCATGTTAGCACAAAATTGGAAAACGGACGCCATACCTAATGTAAGTGATTGGCAGATTAAATTAACAAATTATGCCGAGCTCGCTAGAATAACAGGAAGAATAAGAGATCAAGATGAACAGAAATTTCATGATAACTGGATTAAATATTGGATATATATTGGGACTAAACTTTAAACGACACTGGCGGGATTGGAATAACTCTAACAGTAAAAGGTTATTATGTAAAAGAGATAAAATACGTGAATATAAAGTCTATTTGATACTTACCAAAGGAGTGGAAGGAAGTTCAAGGCTTGGCAGAGCCTAAAATAAATGTATTTATGATTTATGGAATGAATATATTATGTGTAATTTAAGTATTGGACTTTGTATAAGTTTATATGTATATATGTATAATACCAATAAAAATTTATATACCTTGTTAAATTTTACTCTGCACTTGAGTATGTGTCACTTGCTGGGCACTGTCAATGAAACATCATAGCACTTACAGCAGGGATAAAAAGGTTGTGTTAAGCTAGATCTGAACATTGAGAATGCTCCCACCTATCAGTGGGTGAGTGGAGAATTTCATCCTGCTGGGTCCTAATTCCCCAGCACATTCACTGTGGGGAACACACTGGTGAAGGAGACCTCTGCAGCCTTTCCCACATCTTGGCAGCCTCAGATCATACTGGGCAGCCTGACTCAACCCAGGACTTTATGTAGTTGTCCCAACATGACTTGGCCCAAGCCCAGATCATAGAATTGTAGAGGGGTCATCTAGACCAACGCTCTGCAATGCAGGAATCTCTAGTGAAGCATCCAAATCGGCGCAATTCAGTTCAGGTGTCAGGCTTTTGCTGAATCCAGCACACAGCCCTAGTGTGCACATTCCTGCCTGAACACTGCTCCATAAAATAATTTGATTTGCTATAGTATTTGATGTCTGAAGTCTTTAGTGATAAGCAGAGCTACCAGTTCATTTGTCACTTGTTTTAGGTAATATATGGTACCCAGGGAAGGAGAATGTCGTGATTCCTTGCTCGTGAATGTCAAATTTACCTACATTTATGCACTTCTGAGATGTGCCACACAGTTTTCATCCTCCCACTGCATAATTGTCACGTTTTGCCAAGACTAAAACTAATTATAGTGTTGCAATGTGATGTTTTACACAAGCTGATTGCTTGATTGTTTGTTAGAACCCTTCAAATGAATCAGATGCATGTTTAAGCCACTGCACGATTCCTCCTGTGGCAAGGAAACGGCTCTGCTGGCATTTGGATATGGTCAACAACCGGAATGTAAAATAGCTAACATATTTTCATTACTGGCTAACCATTGTTTGTGTTCAGAAAGAGTTCAGCTAGTGGGAAGGACACACAATGCTAGCCTCCCTGCATCACTGCCGCTTATCAGGAAAGCCATGGATTGACTCTGCTGTCCACCTACATAGCCCCAACCTCCCTGCTGTCATTGGGAGAATAGGATTGCAGCTCCACCCCACTGGACGAACTGCATCTCCTTTCCTTGGGAAGATTACCTCTGATTCATAACCCAGAATAGTCAGCTGTTGGGAGTAGGTGGGGAAAGGTTGAGAATTTATTCTCTGGGGAAGAAGAGGAGGCATAGAATAATTGAATCTTAGAGTTAGAAAAGACCTAAGGGTTATCTGGTCCAATCCCCTGAAATGCAGGAATTTCAGCTAAAGCATCCAAGACAGATGGCCATTCAACCACACAAGCATATGTGAGCTCGTGTGCACATGTGAAGAATGGTAATAGTTATGCAAAAGAGTGGGTGGGGCCAGAGAGCACTCTTTGCCTCATATGAAAATAATTGTGCAGGGATTGGAACATCTGAACAGGGTGTGTATCTTTATCAAACAACATATTCAGAGAAGGCCTTCAGACCCTGACACGTTAATTAATTGATTTCCGGTTTGGTAATCGAAGAGCTTTGCTTGTAAAAGAACTAGAAACAACAAATATAAAAGAATATGTAGAATGCAATGAAATTATTATTATTATTATTATTATTATTATTATTATTATTATTATTTCTACCCCGCCCATCTGGCTGGGTTTCCCCAGCCACTCTGGGCGGCTTCCAACAAAAGATTAAAAGTACATTAAAACAACAGTCATTAAAAACTTTCCTAAACAGGGCTGCCTTCAGATGTCTTCTAAATGTCAGGTAGTTGTTTATCTCGTTGACATCTGAAGGGAGTGCATTCCACAGGGCGGGCGCCACTACCGAGAAGGCCCTCTGCCAGTTCCCTGTAGCTTTACTTTGAGAAAAGCGGGAGGATAGTGTGGTATGGAGAGGAATTATTGTCCGCCACACAATTGTGGAGAAAACTGGACAACTTCAAAGAACGTTTGATAGAGTATGTCAAGTCAGTGTGAGAACCAACCAGCAATAACCAGCTGGGTATGATTAAAATTTCTGCACCAACATTTATCAAGAGGCGCAGCGGTGCAGGGGATGCCACGGGAAGAGTGGGATGTTAAACACAGAAGAGTTTCTTCTGGTTATTTTCCACAGCACTGAAAAGCTGTTCAAGAAAAACAGAAAGAGGAGGCAAACTGGTTCAATGAATTCTTTTGGGTCTCCGTGGGTCGCAAAGCACTACCCAGGAAGAGAGAAGTGAGAAGAACATGAAGCCAAATCGTAACAACGAAGTACCCCTTGCACTGAGGAGTTGGTTTCAACATGAAAGCCCAAAAGAGACTTCTTGAAGCGAGTTATTTGACTATTTTATACCTCAGCCTCTCCAAAGAGAGCAGATTTTCAGCATGTATATGTTCCCCTCAGTGTTGGGAGCACAGATTCCAAAGGCTAAGAAGAAATCCTTGTAAAACTTAGAGTGGGGAACTCTTTCAGGCTAATGGCCACATTGCTTCATTGTCAGACTTCCAGGGGCCACATACAATCTGTCAGTTTCAGTTTATCTCATGTCATCAGTTCTGCACATTCCCACATGAGTTTCCACTATACACACACACACACACACACACACACACACATCCTCGTGAAAATTCAGCAGCATTTTCCCACAAATCTCTCCAAATGTACACATTTTTGTATGCAGTCTTACCAAACACAAACATTTTTACAAAACAGTTTTCCTTTATATAATGCGTTGGTATGCTGTTTTCACAAATGTATGCCTTTTGGGGCACATAGCTTGGCCTGAGAGCCATAGTGCAAAATTTGGTCTGCATATTGTTTCAGGAAGTGTGAACTAGGCAGGTTCACCTTGAAATGTGAACTGAATCAAATTTGTCCATACCAGACCCACCCTGCTGCCAAGCCTCCATCCAGGCAACAAGAGTGGTCATAATTCAAGTGCCTGTTGTTGTCGTTTAGGCGTGTCCGACTCTTGGTGACCCCATGGACCAAAGCATGCCAGGCACTCCTGTCTTCCACTGCCTCCTGCAGTTTGGTCAAACTCATGCTGGTAGCTTCGAGAACACTATCCAACCATCTTGTCCTCTGTTGTCCCCTTCTCCTTGTGGCCTCCATCTTTCCCAACATCAGGGTCTTTTCCGGGAGTCTTCTCTTCTCATGAGGTGGCCAAAGTACTGGAGCCTCAGCTTTACGATCTGTCCTTCCAGTGAGCACTTAGGGCTGATTTCCTTAAGAATGGAGAGGTTTGATCTTCTTGCAGTCCATGGGACTCTCAAGAGTCTCCTCCAGCACCATAATTCAAAAGCATCAATTTTTCGGTGATCAGCCTTCTTTATGGTCCAGCTATCACTTCCATACATCACTACTGGGAAAACCACAGCTTTTACTATACGGACCTTTGTTGGCAAAGTGATGTCTCTACTTTTTAAGATGTTGTCAAGGTTTGTCACCACCAGGTGACACCAAGTGCCTGTTACCACCAGGTAAAATCACCAGAGGAAATTGATTGTGCAGGGAACTGAGAACTGGAGGGTCTTATTTTGACCTCCATGTTGAACTTCCCTGGGCCCAAGAATCCCCACCCCTGGCTTTGAGAAGGCAGGCAAGTGGGCTTTGAGAAACCAAGGCCTGAGGTCGGTGAGGCGATTGGTTTTCCCTAATGGGATCAATTGGGAGTTATGATCCCTGATGTTACTCTGGGGAAAGGAGAAAGAGGACTGGACATGTTCTAGGGCTGTTCATGAGAATGAATAGGCTGTCAAAGATGAAGATGCCAAAAAATCTTTTAGCAAAATTGTGCAGGTCTCTCTTTCACCATTTTAAGCTGGCTGCAATGCCCCGAACTTATGGAATCAGAGGGCAAGATATGCATTTACATTCCCCTCTTTCTGTCTTCCATGACTCTGCCCTCATCTGTTATCAAGTGTCTTCTGTAGTGATCATTTAACAACAAACACCAGAGATGTTAGTTCTTGTTTCCGTGTGGTGTGTGTGAAGAAGCTTGACCTTTACAGGCCTCTTGTTTATTTTGAAAGTGCAGAAGTCTTTGGATCAAAAGATGTGCAGGGATTGCCCAAGGGCTTGTCTGCACTACTATCTGAGCACAGAGTTCAAGCTGATTGAAACTGCAGCTGAATTGCAGTGTTTGAACTAAAAAACATTCAGAATTGGTGTTAATACAGGAAGAAGCTGGGCTGATATCATTCAAACAGCATCGTTTTGAAATGAATCAAATATTCCTCCGTCAGTGGGAATGAGATTGTTTGGTGATATAAATCACATTCCCACTAAATATGAGGGTTTTAGAGGGCAACATTCATGATTTCTTGCGTACCCTCCAACATTTCTCCAATGAAAATAGGGACACCCTATTCCATAATAATAACAATTTTCTTATTTATACCTCGCCCATTTGGCTAAGTGCTTCCAACATATATAAGAACACAATAAAACAGTAAACATTGTTTTAAAAACCTTCCCTACACAGGGCTGCCTTCAGATGTCTTCTAAAGGTTGTATAGTTACTTATCTCCTTGGCTCACTCCATACCGTCCACCATTTCTCTGATGAAAATAGGGACATCCTAAGGAAAAGAGGGATATTCCAGGATCAAATCAGAAACCAGGATGGCTTCTGTAAATCTGGGACTGTCCTTGGAAAATAGGGACACTTGGAGGGTCTGTATTTGGTATGAGTGGTACATATATGAACCTTATATTCCACTATGGAACATCTTCTACACCACTAATTCATTTTAAAGCTCTCTGTGATTATTATGATTTTCATTTTATTGCCTTGTAATTTTATTCTTCTTGCTTTTATGATGTTTTTATTATTACTTTTAGCTTGATGTTTTGTTTGTTTGTCTTGGGTGATTTTTTAAAAAAACAGGAATTCCTCTTTCAACTTCATATATTTCATTAAAATATTCATTGTGTTATTTGTGGCTAGATATAAATGGATCAGGATGTTTTGCACTGTATTACTTAGATAAGGTTTACCTGAAGTTTGTATGCAGCTGATACCAAAGAAAATGCAAGGTAATTATTATTCTTTTTCAATCCTTGAGCATGCTAATTATCCCACCAAGCCCAATAAATTTGTGATTTCATCTTTATTATGTTACATTTGCGTTTGATCTTCCTGAAGTGAATCAGAGTAGTTCTTATTCGGCAATATGCAGAATTGGGCACACAAAATCAATAAGACACGTGTGTAAGTGTGTGAAGAGAGCTGCTGACTGAGGTTCCATCTGCTCCAGAATTGTGAACTATTTTCAAACCAGTTTATCTCTCACAGATTGCCACAAGGAACCCCAGGAGCTGCAGTTTCCTAAGGGTGAAGAGCAGTTTTCAGATTCCCTGGTGTCTCACGCAGACTTTTTCCTGCAGAAGAATTAAACCAGTTTAAAGCAGGGTGACATTTGCAGATGCAGCCTGAGTCTGTACGTGACCTATAATATAATCCATCTCCAGGGGCAACTAACATTTGCAACTATGCCCTGACCGGAGGAAAAAATGTGGTTCCTCATCACCTCTAAAGGGTTGGCTTTATGCAATTTCTGCAGTTTTCTCCACCTCGATTCTTTTAGCATATTGAATGTGTATCCAATGCACATATTTATCCCTGCCAGCCATTCCTGACAGGCAAATTTATTTTGTCAATTTTCTTAGGAAGCAACATTTACATTTAGGAGCACTAGTGATGGGGAGATTTGTCTCCAGAGACAAGTAAGGCTAGTTAAAAGGAAAAAGTGTGTCCGTTTAATGAGTAATAAAAATACACTGATGGCAACAGGCACCATTCTCCTTGTTCCCAGTCTAGGGATGGGAAGAGGCAATAGAGTCAGTTCACATTTAAAGGTGAATCAACTAAACCCACACTCTCCAACACCACCTGACCACCAGTAAACTGGAAGGGAGATTCAAAGGTCTAAATAGAAAAATACTCAAGGCTGTGTGGAGACCCTCAATTTACGCATGTACCTGCATTTTATGATGGTTTAGGCAGAGGTTCTTTTTTTTATATCTAGATATATAGAAATATAGATTCCCCACCCCCTTTGATAGTGTCTGTGTGGTTTTGTCATGGCTTTTGGCTAGTACAATAAAGCTTATTTACTTACTAACTAACTAAATCCACATTCTCCGAAACCATCTGACCACCATCTGGTGAAGTTTGGACTGATGGCAGCAATTCCCCCTGAAGCCTGCACAAGGTGGTGCACTGCCAGAGACTGATGGAACCAAAAGGGTTCCTGAATGCTTTGTGGGGAGAGGAAGAGGCCTAGCTCAGAGGTACAGTATCTGCTTTGCATGCAGAAGGTCTCAGGTTCAATCCCTGGCATCTCCAGTAACCAAAACCTGCTTTTTAGGGAAGGTGGTAGAGAGGGTCATGGTGGGGCAACCACAGGCACCCTTGGATGATATGGATTGTCTAGACCAGGGTTTCTCAAACTTGGTCTCCAGCTGCTTTTGGACTACAATTCCCATCATCCCTACCCTTAGTCCTGCTAGCTAGTGATGATGGGAGCTGTAGTCCAAAAACAGTTGGAGACCCAAGCTTGGGAAACCCTGGCCTAGACCCATTTCATTCTGAGTTCACTCATGATCATGGGATTGAATTGACCTTAGTTGCCCTCATGGGTGATCTTTATTGAGAGTGGAGCAAGGGAAATGCAACTTGGTTCCTTCTTCTCAGTCTTTCTTTGGGTATTTATTACCATTGATCATTATAGCCTCCTGGATCAGTGCCTTGGGGTGGGTATTGGGGGCATTGTTTTACAGTGATTATGATCCTATGTCAGGAGCCAGGATGCTGTCTTGATAAAACAGCAAGCAAGTTGTAATTAGCTGGAAGATTTATTGCAATACAAACACTCAGCCTCAGACGCCTATCTGCATGTCCGTGACTTGTGAATTAGTTGACCCTTCTGGGGAGTGATTCCGGGTATGGCTGAATATCCAGAACCTATGCCCTTTCCGTTTCCGGCTTTGTTTTCTATCTAAGACCTTTCCCATACGTCAGCCCCTTGGATAAATTAACTCCCCTTCCCATATGGAACTGCATTCCCTCCCACCTTCTGAAATCGCCTGTGTCACTTGAGAGAGTCGGGTTCTCTCTTGCACATTCTCTGCATTCCTGTCATTCTCAGAGCGAGGGGGAGTTGATAAACTACCATTTGCAACTGTCTGGGAAGAACGTGAGCCTCTCTCTTATTGGCTGCTTCCCGACTCCTCTGAAGCTCTTGGGCAGAAGTGCTCATGACATCCTACATATGGAGCAAAGTCCAGACAATAGAGTTGGAGGAGTGGTTTTTTGGAACCCTGGCAATTTATTTATTTAGGAGTATTTTTACCCTACCTACTAGCCGAAGTTCTCAAGGCAACTTACCAGTATATCAAAAACACAATAAAGTAAGCAATGTTACAATAGTCACAAAAGCAGGACAAACATGTATCTAAGTGTCCCTGCCCCCCAAATTCTCTGATATTCCATCAAATGCCATTTTGCTTAGCCTTAGAGGGCAAATGCTAATAGGACAGATTCATGCATGCACATCTATCACTTGATGATGCTATCTATGTTGATTATTATTTTTCATATAATTTGGGTAATTTAGAGAGTCAAGTGATCACTTCATATTACAGTCAAAAGAAGTGATGACATGCATGGGTGAATTGGCTCCAGTAAGATTCTCTGTTAGGAGATACCAGTTTACATGACAGCCTTGCTCTTGAAAAAGCCCCTCCGTCTGTTATTTTCTCCAAAGTGCATTGTCCTTTTCACAACTTCTCAGCAAGGAACATTGGCATCCAAGGGACAGCTGTGTGGCTGACATCATAGAGCTGGCTTGTTCGATAAATTGCAACTAGCTAGAGACAGAGCGACTGGTGTTTCTGTTTCCTGCAATACGATATAACTAATGAGACAAGTCACCAGACTGCCTGCCTGCACGCTTCATTACTTTGGAAGGAATGGGAGAGAGAAGATTTGGTTTGCTTGCTTGGTGACATGCAATTGCAAGGATAGACAGTTGTCACAGCAAGCCGGTTCCCTAGAGGAACCGCCCGGGAGAAATATCTATCTCAGGAATGACCAGTAAATGTATGTATGTCAAATGTCACACTAGGACAAGTACTGACTATGTTAGAAGGAAACAGCTTATCTGAATTCTAGCATATCCACAACACCCAGGTCCAGATCCAACACTTCTTCTGCACTGAACACACACACAAAAGAGTTTTTCCAGACAAAGCTCAGGGCCTTGGATGATAAACAAAATCATTATCTGTAGCCCATTCATGATGTCATCTGCAATGGCACTTTATTTGCATGCTTCCCATAGTTAAAACCATGCTCATTACAAAACTGGTCATGGACAATAAAGAAAACGCATCAAAAAGTACACAACCAAAATGAACAATTTCCACATTTTAATAATATTGTCTGTTGTTTTTATGTTGTACACCACTGAGAGATTTTTGAAGGCTGCCTGTCATTTTTCTTTTCAAAGGGAATTTCAGTTACCTAAGAGTGGCTAGCCAGCACGGAGGGCTTTGAAACCAAGACAGCCATGGTTCTTGATAACTATCGTTCTCAGTGGGCATGTTATGTACATATTGCATATTTTATGTTTAATTCCCCGTTAGAGTTGTAGGGAGACTTGTACATAAAATATGTAAAATGTATGTAAAATGAATAAATTGTACACAATTATGTAACATTCTCACTGAGAAGAAGAAGAAGAAGAAGAAGAAGAAGAAGAAGAAGAAGAAGAGGAGGAGGAGGAGGAGGAGGAGGAGGAGGAGGACAACGATGAGGAGTAGAAGTTTGGACTTGATATCCCGCCTTTCACTCCCCTTAAGCAGCCAACAACCTCCTGTCCCTTCCTCCCCCACAACAAACACTCTGTGAGGTGAGTGAGGCTGAGAGACTTCAGAGAAGTGTGACTAGCCCAAGGTCACCCAGCAGCTGCATGTGGAGGAGCAGGGAAGCGAACCCGGTTCACCAGATTATGAGTCCATCACTCTTAACCACTACACCACGCTGGTATCATCAAGGCCCATTGCAAAATTGATTTTGGTGTGCCCAGCAGCAGGAACAGCACATGCTGGTCAGCCTCTTCGACCGCTGAAGTTACTTTTTAAAGAAGGAAGAAAGACATTCCTTGAACCTGCTTGTGTGGGAATTCACAAGAGAGTAGGAATCCACCAATACCCATAGTCCGGAGTGAGCCCCTTCCCTGATCCTCGCATTCGTATTGGCAGATCAAGATCAAGTGTGTCTGCTTTGTGTGTTAGCAGGATTTTAATCTCACTTGTAATGTAACAAATACCATGGACAATATGGATTGATATAAAATATATATTATGAAATAATATGCAGTTGAGAATGTTGACAATAGGGCCCGCGGAGGGGATGGGGGAAGTCTTGAGATTCAGAGAAATCTATGTATATGTATATGTAATAATAGTAATAATAATTACTTATTTATACATCTAGCTGGGTTTCCCCAGCCACTCTGGGTGGCTTCCAACAAAAGATTAAAAACACATTAAAACATCAGTCATTAAAACTTCCCTAAACAGGGCTGCCTTCAGATGTCTTCTAAAAGTCAAATAGTTGTTTATTTCCTTGACATCTGGTAGGAGGGCGTTCCACAGGGCGGGTGCCACTACCGAGAAGGCCCTCTGCCTGGTTGCCTTTAACTTGGCTTCTCACAGCGAGGGAACCGCCAGAAGGCCCTCGGTGCTGGACCTCAGTGTCCGGGTTGAACGATGGGGGTGGAGACGCTTCTTCAGGTATACAGGGCTGAGGCCATTTGTGGTTTTGTTATAAATTTATGTCTTTAAAATCTAATAAAAATGATTTTTAAAAAGTGTGTCTGCTTTGGAAACACTGCTTGCAATGTTCCTTTCCTACCCTTAATGGAAGTTTTCCCATTACTATTTGCTATTGAAAAACAAAAATCAAATAATCTTGTGGCACATTGAAGAGTCTCTTTCTGTCTCTCTCTGTCTGTCTGCCACCCTTACTCCTTCCTTCCTTCCTTCCTTCTTTTTAATTTTTTATACGACCTTTCATCTATAGATCTCCTTTAGCGGTACGTCCAGCTCAGTATATCCAACAGCGGTTATTTTTGTGTGGTTCATAATCTGTGCATTGACCATTTTGTGTGTGTTCAATTGACGCATGACTGCTGATGTGCAAGTCCTTTTGGATCTGGAAGAGGGCAGAACGGGGACGGTGGTGGAACATAATGTAATGGAACGGGGCATAATGGGGGGGTGAGCTGGGGTGTAATTGTGTGTAATGGGACATTGCGGGGTGAACTTATGCACACTCTGCCAACACATACGGTAGCCAGGAACAGAACACCCCCCCCACACACACAAAAACCAGCACAAATTGTCATTGCCTGTACATGCAAGGTTGTATCTAAGTCATACTCAAACCCAGTGGCCTTAACTGGTGATGTCCATTAAATTCTATGGTTCTGCTCTGAGTAACATTTAGCTGAACACAACATATTGGATCAGGAGACCTTTACAATGCCAAACCACTGCTATTTGTATATTAGGTGGCTCTGAATCACCTGCAATATTTGCATACTGTACTTGTTTCCACTGAAATACTGACCATATAATACTGTTTTCTTATACAGAAATAAAAGGCCCGACACATAACCATAATAAATGCTTATTTTAAGCTTTAAAATGGCTGCCCCACATGAACACTTAAATACTATATATTTTGGGTGCATGTAAACCTCTGGTATAGAAGGGGATGGTAAAATACAATTCAGACTCTGCCAGAAAATAATCGCAAGTTTCAAACAGCGAGGAATCAACTCTTTCCAGGCTGATGTATTTGTGATTGCAGACCTCAAAGCACTTACGCAAACAAAAGAAAATAGTCTGGAGTCTATATAGTAAATAAGTACTACATCAGAATGGAAATTGACTTTTTAATCTCGGGAATTACGTCTCATACATAATGAGAAGTTGATCTTTATTCATCTTTACACCATCGCCCACCTACTGTTCCTCTTGAATGTGAGAAAAACTGTGATTACATTCAAAGGTTTTCCTTAAGAGCAGCAGGAAAACTTGGAAAGTCAGAGCTTCACCAGAGGACCTGTTTACTCAGCAATCGCCCTATTTTCCTTTGCAAAGCTTAAACAGTGGTTAGACTGGGGCCATGTACAAATTAGTGGCTTAAGGTGAAGTGAGGCGGTGGTGGTTGTTGTCGCCCCCCTGTTGCATTTCAAGACGCATCCTCATGTTGCTGTATACACCAGAGGCAAGGATATCTTCATCTATGCATATTACTTGCTTGGTTCCCCTCTG